TTGTCTAAAGTAGTAGTTAAATAAACTCACTGTCCATTGAGACTATTCCCTTTTCCTTTTCTTCCATCATGCGTTCAAAATACTAAGAATACTTCCATCGCTGAAATGTATAAGACCATCTTCCATTTTCTGTCACTGAGTGTGGGATTCAGCGTGACTATGTTCATTTGAATTCAGAAGTTTATTTTTACAAGCCAATTAATCAAAATAAAAAGTAACTTGCATTATTTTTTTTAAAGTAACTTACATGTTATTACCTTATTTTTTTAAATTATTGTTTTATTTCTCATTATTTAGAAAAGTAATATTATTACATAACTCATGTTACTTATAATGCGTTACCCCCAACACTGCTGATAGGTAAAAAAAAAGTGTACCTTTAAAAAGGTACTGCCCAAGTGACAGGTTATCTATATTTATTTCTGAGAGTGTAATTAACCTAGTTAAGCCTTTAAAAAGTTACTTTAAGCTGATTACTAGTATTTTAAATATCAAAAATATTATGTACGGTCATCATGGCAAAAATAAAAGAAATCAGTTGTTAGAAATCAGCTATAAAAACATACATGTTTATAAATGTGTTGAAAAATATTCCCTCCATTAAACAAAAGATGGACTTTAACTGCATATGTATAGCTGTATGAAAAGCTGTTATTTATTAGCATATTGATAATGAATCAATGAAAGTGTAACAGTCTTTTGTGCTTTCTCCTAGCTTGTGCACAACAAGAGCGACATCTGGTGGAGAATATTTGCACTGTATGTAGTTCCATTTTGAATAGCTCTAAATGCATACATTTGATGCATTAGGTTTCTTGTCAAAACTGTACTGTATTCTGTGCATGATTGCAATCTTTCAAATCAGCAACCAAAACGAATACTATTAAACTCGCATGCACTTCATTGCTGTTATATTTTCAGACAAATCTAATTTAGCAGTGGTTTCCATAATCATGAGTCAGATCAACCAGTTTGTACATCCTGCAGGTTAGATGCATTCACACTGGAACATTGAAAGACAGATGGCATTCACCTCAGGGGAATGGCTTCAGGTAAAACAGTACCTACTCTCTGCCAGTGATCTCCATGGTGTCAGCAGACACTGTATATGTGTTTACTCATTACACTGACAGGATAGAGGCTTTCCATACCAACAGTTGCGGGGAGGACCTTTGAGAGCAATATTAGTATACATTAAGCTGTTTAACACTTGGTAGAATAAATATTCTTCTTGATTTACATTTGTATTTTTTTCTGAGAATGTGAAGATTTTTCTTTTGAAACATCAATCTAGGGAGTTGTGTAGCCTACTGGGCAAAAGGTGGTTGCCAAGGTGTCGCTATGCAGTTGCTAAAAGATGCAGACAGAATTTTTGCATTCTATTGTTGGTTGCTAAACATATGTCTCTCTTTCTTTTTCTCTTCGATCGATTAATATATATTCATATTAGTTCTGAGTAGTTTTTCAAAAAGTTTTATTGAGATGTGTTGTTGGTGATTGGATGGTTTTTGAATTAATTGGGTAGCTTTATATAAACAAAGTAAAATTAAGACGTTTAAAATGATTTAAGACCTAAACAACAATATTTCAGTGAATTTAAGAAACTGCAGATACCCTAATATATATATATATATAGTTGAAGTTATTTCATTTATTATACAGTATAGCATACATATATGGGCCTCACAGCAAGAAGGTCGCTGGTTCGAACCCTGGCTCAGTTGCCGTTTCTGTGTGGAGTTTGCATGTTCTCCCTGCATTTGCGTGGGTTTCCTCTGGGTGCTTTGGTTTCCCCCACAGTCCAAAGACATGTGGTACAGGTGAATTGGATAGGCTAAATTGTCCGTAGTGTGTGTGTGTGTGTGTGTGTGTGTGTGTGTGTGTGGATGTTTCCTATAGATGGGTTGCGGCTGGAAGGGCATCTGCTGTGTAAGACCTTGCTGGATAAGTTGGTGGTTCATTCTGCTGTGGCGACCCCGGATTAATAAAGGGACTAAGC